TTCATAAAACGAAAAATACAAAAACAAAACATTTGAAATTTGTACCGTTTATTTATCTTAACCGTTTGTTCATATATTTGTATGTGTATCTATGTTTGCTTGTAACTATGTATACATGTGTTATGATAGGGATATATTGAGTACAACATTCATAATAATAAGAAGAATAGGAATTATCCTTAAAGAGTAATTTCGATTTATTGAATGAATACTTGCATACACAAAAAAATTTTATTCAAATATTTCTGTGATCTGTAAAGAGAAGGATTGAAATAGAATGAAGGTTAAAAAGATGAACATAAACAGAATATATTTGATGGATGATGGCTAACAGTGGAAACTGGGATACACATTTTGTCCCATTTTGAACTCGTTAACTCGATGTACAGCCGACATTCAATCCCGGACTCGAACTCAATGCTATTCACCCGAAACATCATTGCGTCTAACTACTTAGCTACTGAGTTCAGATAGTTACTGGCTTATGCAATGGGGTAAAGTTTAGTTTATTTGTATTGGTCCCAGAATATATAGTAATTTTGAGACCCAGGTAAATTCAGCTGATGAGTCTCAAATCAGATGAAACACGCATCCTGGATACCAGTGCTAGCCATCGTCCATCTCTTAATTAAAAAGAATATTGCTTGTGACCTAATGGCAAATAATGAAGGATTCCACAAATAATGTACATGTGTTGAAGACACTAATCAACTACAGTTGGAGTATTGTAATCAAAATGATAATTTATTGAAAGAATACATTAAGTGGTCGATGAATTTAAGGCTTTTTGTAGCTGACGTCCATGTAGTGAATAAAGACTGATGGTGTTCTGTTATGTCATGAGTAAGACAGTTTTAAGAGAAGTTTTATTCAATGATTTTAATAATCTAATGTTTAAATGATTGAAATGGACTGACCGGACTCTATTGTTGAATGTCTTCCATTGTAGTTTTGGTTAGATAATTGTGAGGACTGGCCTCAGGTGAAATGAAGGAAGCTCTAGTTTATTGAAATGATAACGTTTACTAAAGTCTTTAAATACCAGATATTTTAAGCTGTTGATAATAAATCACTTTAAGCTGTTTATCTCTACTTTCATACATTTTAAGCGGATCGATTGTTATAACCTTGATTACTGTAGGTAAATTATTAATAAGTTAATATTTCCCAATAAGTTCGTGAATCGATCTATGCTGTACCAACATTGAGAACCTGTGAACACTAGATGACCTTTTTTTCGAGTTTGGGACTATTTAATAATGAGCATCCATGACCATTCACTAAAAGTAATCAATCTTAGAATCTTCGGTCTCACGCGCGAACACTTAGACTTCAGATCAGTGAGTCATTATCCAACGGTGTTAATATCTAATTTCAATGGATCCATGATATTGCGCGGCCATCTTTCATTGTCTTCGTTGGGTAACTTCCTCAAATAATACACGGTTTAACTCTACTACTCACAGCTTCTCATGTTCTTTTCAAGCTATTCACGAGTGAACATACACTACTAGTCATGATCTCTATGAAATCGAACAATTTACACGAAGTCGTATTAACGATACCCAAAACTTTTACTAGAAACTTTTAACTTAATGAAAATATTGAAATAATCCATTCACAATGTACATAAATCCCGATAGAGACTAATCAAATGTGCTTCCTAATATCAACAATAAGAAAATATAAAATCCTTACAAATAATTGATTCCATTTGAATCATTTGAATTACATTTCCAAATTACAGTTGAACAAATCGTTTCATTCAATGTTTCATTATACTGATTATTGATATTTTAGATGACCTTTGAACGACGTCATAATGACCTTGAGAATATCCACCTACTTATTAGGACTGAATGAGAGTTATAATTTTATTTACTGATATTGGTACAAGGGGGCACCAGATACATATGCGCTACACAAATTTCATTTGGTATGTATGAAGGCTGTGATACTGCCCGGATACCCAAACCGAAGCAGATAGTTTTCTTAAGGGGCCACACCCGGAGCCTTCGACCTAAAGGTCCGATCTACAAGGCACTGGAGCATCGTAAGGAGATGCAGTCTCATAGTAGTCGATGATTAACGATTGGTTCATGCGCCATTTGTTCCCTCAGGTTAGTGGAGCTAATCAGAGTTATAAACTAGTGTGGGGAATTAAAATTATAATTTACAGTGAATGGTTAAAATTGAAAAAAGAATTAGATTTAAGGTTTTCATCATGAATGAACATCAACTAAAATATCAAAACTCAATTTAACCAAAATGAATGACTGAATTTCGCGCTGCAAAATACATGACCTTCTAACTTAAATCCGATTGGTTCATTTATAAATTATAGTCTCGCCAATTTATTTAACTAAATTTTGATTAGTTAATAATATAAGACAAATTAGTTAATGTAACTCGAAAAAACCTTTTCATTGATGTACATAAAACGGTAATGATTTTTCCAACAAAAAAAAACACAAAAAAGCAAAAAAAAGAGGAAATTTAAGGAAATTTATACATTTCTAATAAACAATGTAACATTTAAACAATAATCTATGCATAGCAACTGATTTAACACAATTCAGGGAGGTGTTTAATAAATGGAATTAAAAGGAAAAAAGAAATGAATTTTATTAATAATAATAATAATAATAATGAGTACAATGTATTGCGATCCTCATGTACAACTGCTAGTAATGAAGACAATGATGGGATTTATTCAGATGAAACAGAGAGTATGATTAATCATGCAAGAAGTTCACCAATGAATGATAGTATAGATACAATTGCAAATACAATTAGGATAACACCAACACCACCACCAACAACAGGAACAGGAACATCACCACCATTGACATCAAAAAGTAACACTGATGATGATGATGATCATAGTGAACGAGATATTAATCATAATAATGATACTAATTCACATACAACTATTGATGAAGATTTAATGACTAGTTACGAAGCTTCAGTGGATATAGAATATAACAATGACGATTATGAATTACATAATGAGTTAATTCATAAATCACCTAACTCGATGAAAAAACCAGAGAAACAAGTAACATTTCAAGATATTGTTGAAATTTCAACAATATATTCTATTACAAATGAATCACAAGAGTCCATATCACATCATTATGAAGATGGTGATGATGATGATGATGATGATGATGATGGATGATGATGATGATGATGATGATGATGATGATGATGATGATGAAGATGATTATAACGACGACGACGACGATGATCTTGATGATGAAGAAGAAGAAATGAAAATGACAAAACAGATTAGCATGAATAAAAGACTAAAAAATCGATTAAAAAATGTGGTCAATTCCAATGATCATAAAGTTGGATTAGTCATAGCAACAGTTGAACATAAAAATAACAAAAATAATTCAGATAATAATCAAATTCTTTCAGAAAAAGATTTATTAAGTGTAAGTGATAGATTATAGTTAAGTATTTTGTTGTTGTTGTTGAAATTATACCAATTCATTACTGATTAGTGACTGATTGAATGTTCATCTAGTCTACTATATACTAATTAGACATGATTAATAGCCTTAGAGATTAGATTACTGCTATATCTAGAGATTAGAATCTTTATCAGAAGGGGTTTTGTGGAGATTGTAGCAATTTCAATGGTTAAGATCATGAGTCAGTTGAAGCTAGACCACCACTACAATCTCTACAAAACCCCTTCTGATAATAATCAACATATACTCACTAGTGACTAGCTTCAAGAGGTTTATCCTGGAGTTCTAGTGAGAAGTAGTGACCAATGGAGTTCAACCAGGTCTGTTGTTAGATAGTAACTCGCTGAAGACAATGGTGGATGTGTCGCTCAATTTCGTGGATTGATTGAAGTTAGACATTAACACCGTTGGATGCCGATTTAGTGGTCTAGTGGTTAAGTGCTCGCGCTCGAAACCAGTAGGTCCTGGGTTCGGATCTTGCGTAGGGCGAGGATTCCCATAGTAGGATGGAACGGCCATCCAATGCTTCCAGGCTTTCCATGGTGGTCTAGCTTCAACTGACTCATGATCTTAACCATTGAAATTAGATTCCTTCTCTACCGCTTACTACTTGAGAACTCAAATACTAGAACCTACCATGTCACAAAAATGATGGTAGAAGATGAATAAGAAGAAATATTATTTCAAACAGTGTCAAATAGAATATAAAAATTTCAGGTATTTATAGCTTTTAGTAGAAACGAAATCATCATTAAAGTCATTCTATCCATGTGCAGTGGTTTTTAACATTTGTCTACAAGTTAAAGTTTTGGAATATTCTTCCAAAAAAAAGTGATTGAATGGAATGTCTTCAACTCTTTCTAAGTTTCTTAAAACTTCTTTGAGTTCAACTGAAGGACGTCTTCACAATTATCTAACCAAAACTACAATGGAAGACATTCAGCAATAGAGTTCAGTCAGTCCATTTCAATCATTTAAACATTAGATTATTAAAATCATTGAATAAAATTTCTGTTAAAACTGTCTTACTCATGACATAACAGAACATCATCAGTCTTTATTCACTACATGGACGTCAGCTACAAAATGCCTTAAATTCATCGACTACTTAATGTATTCTTTCAATAAATTATCATTTTGATTACAATACTACAACACTGATATATTTCATCAATCAGAATCATCTCTATTTTTATGTATTTATTCGATTATATGGGTATAAATAACAGTAGTAACAGGCACTCACATTTTAAGGAATTGAAATGACTCCAATTGAATGATCATCCATTTCGTCGCAATCACAATGACAGTTTTCGAATATGGTTATCGATAGTTTATGTGTAGAACCATCCACAACGTGTTCACATTTCGACCACTTATTTATTCATTGAGTGTGTAAGTCGATGTATGTGAGAGAAGTTCCACTAGAGATTTTATTTCAATATCCCACTTTCATCATATTTGTGTTATTTCATTCATTATGTTGTACTGCTCTCATCTGTAATATTCACTGTGAACAATCAACCATAATTCTACATGGTTGAAATGTAATGGTTGATGGTCAGTCAGTCACCTAGTGAATGAAGTGTGAGCTATTTGAGGATATTGAGTAAGATGCAATAACGGTCAATTGAGAATGGTTAGAGTAACACCAACTCAATTCACTGCTCTCAGAATGTGAATGATTGAATTGATCGAGATTTGAATGTGAGTATGATGCATTGTGGACATGAGTGTGCAATGATTCTGATTGAAGTTTGATGTTGGATGTTTGATGTTTCAGTTGATGAATGATGTGATGTTGATGAGTTTGTGTTAGATTGACAAGTGAATGTGTGAAGTGATTCATCATTTTATCTTTATTGCTACTGACTATCGGAAATGTTGATATTGATTTTGAATTTGGAGTGATTTGTTCAGTAGAATGTATAATGTTGTTAGTAATGCACATTCGGATGAGTTATCTATGTGTATGTGTGTGTTTATGTGATGTTCATATGTGTGAAGAAGTGTTGATTTTGTTGTTGATTGAATGTTCATTCAGATCGAGAGCATAATCATTGACATTGCGAATGTTGATGATTGGTTTTATGTGTTTTGGTGTGTGTCACTGTCATCCTACAGTGATTATGAACCATGTGACAAATGAATTCATATCACTATTCACTGTATTAGTGTGTCGTTTGCCACTGATGTCGATAGATATAAGTAGTATGTATCAATAATGTAAAGTGGAATGTCTGGTGGCAGAAGGTTAAGAAGACTGAAAGCAAGAGAATGAGATCGAGGACCAAAATTGATTGATGTGTAAACGAAGGATTAATGGAGTCTGAGTCGATTAACTGATATTTTTCAACTGAAATGTTTGCTTAATGGTTCTTATATTTTACTAAGTGATTCTGTAATTTTGCTTTCAAATACATTCGATTGTCCACACTTATATTCTCGTCGACTACATAAGAACACTTTGTGAACTGCTGAGTCTAGTCTGTGTTGATGATGAAACATTTACCAATCGGATTGGTGGATGAACAATTATACATAGACATTTCCTACTGATTCAAATTAGTCATTTAAATAATAGAAGGAGAGTTGATAGAACTGTATTCTTCTTCTTCTTTTTCCACTACTCATAAACGTTGCACTACATGTTATCCATATATTAATCATTATGATTTGTATGATAATGTGATGTAATTGATTACATTCGATGTATAATATTCTATTGATGGTTTACAATGATGTTGTTCAATGTAAAATGGAATAATAGTCGAGTAGATGTATGAGAGTGAAATAGAATAATGTTCTGTTTGGAAGGATAATCTGATCTGTATAGTTTATTTATTAATATCAAATGTATTGATTGAATTTCCTGGACCAAATGATATCCAGTTTGAATATAATATCGATTTTTTATACGAATAACCTATCATGATAAGCGATTATATGTGTCAATAGTATGTTTAATGAACAGTTAATTAGTGATAAACTTTCTGTCTTATTGAGTATTTTGTCTGGGACTCAAATCTAATGTATCTATTAGTATCTTACTAGTAGTTCTTGGATGCATCTACCTTTCAGTGGTTGTTTTGAACGGTAACTGCATAGTTTCTATTATCCCTTAAGTTTCAACTTATCATTACATCAGTGAAAATTCTGATTGAACAAATATTTTGCCGGACTACGTTATGCTATTCATCTTTTAACGCTAATCATAGATTGATCTTAGTTGGTGTACCACTGAAAACTATAGAAACGCATTGAATTACTGTTTCCTTGGTGAATGTGGTTTGTTATCAATACCACCCAGAAGAACTGTCAGAGATTGAACCCAGAATCTTCAAAGCTTTAATATAAGCCCTTAATATTAGATATACTGACACAGTGTTCATTGGTACACTTTCAATTCAATTGATTTGCATTAGAGCTCGATAATTATCTAATGCCATTATAGTAACCTATTTCACTGTCGACATGTTAATACTTCAATTGTAACAGTTTCTCACTAGAATGATGGAAATATCATGAAGTAATCCACTGGTAAACTGATCAACATAGTTTAGTTGGAGAGATTTTGTGCAGATCTGTTAGATTTTTTAGTAATACTTTTCGCGTTACCGGAGTTGTGATTGATGGAGTTCAAATATGTCGAGTGTGCTACAGTTTTCAACAGTTGCATTAGATAATCATCAAGTTATATCGCAACTTGATTGAGTTGAAATTAGATCACTGGAAACTGAGCCAGTGATTCTAATGGTTAAGCCTCCTCAACGTGACTAGAAAGTCCTTGTTTTGATTGCTGAAAAGATCATGGATACGCACTAGTAAGAGGTCTCTTGCTAGGACGAAACAGCTATTCAGTACTTTATTTTCTTCAGCGGTACACTTACAGAGATTGGCCTGTGACTAATACAACCTACAAATCAAACCAATCTCAAAAAAACTGATTTAAATAATCCATTTTCAGTTAACTTTCGATAGACTACATAATCAGTATTCGTTTAGATATCGTTCTTAAATGATTCCAGTATTGTAAGATTACTTATTATCATACAAACAATGTTCCGTAATTGCCAAATCTTCTCATCGATAGGGTTCTAGTTTAAAAGACGACTGATCAGTTATTATTCAAATAATCTGATTGTTTGTATACTTAGTCTATTATGGTTAATTCAATTAAACACAGTATAAACACTTGAAAATAACTGAAATCCTTGCTTACTAGTCAATATTAAATTTATCGACAGTTGATAGAGTCGGTACATATATGATCAAACGTATCTAATAAGATACCGAATAGATAAAGTACTTATCAGTATTTACATCGATTTTTAAACGGCTTTGTTTATAAAGTGTAGTATATAATATTGAGGATAATTTTTGAAATTTTAATAGTTGAGATCATGAGTCAATTGAAGCCAGACCACCATGGAAATCCTGGAAGCACTAAACGACCGTTTCGTTTTATTGTGGGACTCCTCAGCAGTGCACGTCCACGATCCCGCCTCATGAGATTCGAATCCAGGTCCTATCGGTCTCGCGCGTGAACGCTTAACCACTAGACCATTGAGCGGGCCGACATCCAACAGTGTTAATGTCTAACTTCAACCAATCCATGAAATCGAGCGACATATCCACAACTGACCAGGTTGAACTCCACTGGTCTTTGCTTCTCACTTTAACTTCAAGAAATACCTCTTGGAGACCATCACTAGGACCTATCAGTCCTGGGTTGAGATCTCGCGAGTCGGGATCATGGATGCGCATTGCTGAGGAGTCCCATAGTAGGATGAACAGCCTTCTAGTGCTTTCATGTTTTCCATGGTGGTCTAGTTTCAAATGACTCATGATTTCAACTATTAAAATTACTATAATATCCACAAAACCCCCTTCTGATATTTTTTGTCTTTCGCTACGTATGTTGAATAGTTTCAGATGGTAACAATGAAGTTTGAACCATTGATCTAACTTTAACTTCACTTGTATTCATCATAGAAGTTGGATTTGATTTGTTTTATCACACTACCAGAGGAAAACATAAATAGATTTCTTAGCTAGAATACTAAATGTATAACTGGATCTCCCATAACATGAATTATTATTATACTCTATGAACCTATTCAATAACACTATACATTTTCTAAGGTATACCAGACACACTATGCAAATAAAGACATTGAAATGAGTAGGATTGTTTAATTAATAGATCGAATTATGATCATCACAAATCATTAATATATATATCTATTTATCCTTCGGACTCAAACAAGGATATGTAAACTAAAACCTTGAGTAGGTACATAACTAATTGACTCCAATTTCTCACTTACCGACTGACCTTGGAAACCAATGTGAGCATATAACATATAACATGTCCTTACATGCCCAGCCACTCACATAGATACAAACTACATTGCAACTTGACAGGCAGTATTCTACTAGACAATATCAAATTGATTTTCATTGAACATTTGACTCCTACAGAAATCATTCGCATCTTTAATAGTTCAGTGTTAATAACTCTGATTAAACAGGATAAACTTACACTGAGTGACAAAGATTTCGAATCCTATAGGGAACAATAGTTCTATCAAAATTAGAGATATACATTACCAACTGATAGATAAGGTTTCACTCCAAGTTTCCAAGTCATGTGCTTTGCATTCATGGAACGAAATTAGTTTTATCTGTTATAATGGTAATAATGATTATTATTACCATTATAACAAATTAATGATTATTATTACCATTATAACAGATAAAACTAATTTCGTTCCATGAATGCAAAGCACATGACTTGGTAACTTGAAGTGAAACCTTATCTATCAGTTGGTAATGTATATCTCTAATTTTGATAGAACTATTGTTCCCTATAGGATTCGAAATCTTTGTCACTCAGTGTAAGTTTATCCTGTTTAATCAGAGTTATTAACACTGAACTATTAAAGATGCGAATGATTTCTGTAGGAGTGAAATGTTCAATGAAAATCAGTTTGATATTGTCTAGTAAGATACTGCCTGTCAAGTTGCAATGTAGTTTGTATCTATGTGAGTGCTTGGGCATGTAAGGACATGTTATATGTTATATGCTCACATTGGTTTCCAAGGTCAGTCGGTAAGTGAGAAATTGGAGTCAATTAGTCATGTACCTACTCAAGGTTTTAGTTTACATATCCTTGTTTGAGTCCGAAGGATAAATAGATATATATATTAATGATTTGTGATGATCATAATTCGATCTATTAATTAAACAATCCTACTCATTTCAATGTCTTTATTTGCATAGTGTGTCTGGTATACCTTAGAAAATGTATAGTGTTATTGAATAGGTTCATAGAGTATAATAATAATTCATGTTATGGGAGATCCAGTTATACATTTAGTATTCTAGCTAAGAAATCTATTTATGTTTTCCTCTGATAGTGTGATAAAACAAATCAAATCCAACTTCTATGATGAATACAAGTGAAGTTAAAGTTAGATCAATGGTTCAAACTTCATTGTTACCATCTGAAACTATTCAACATACGTAGCGAAAGAAAAAAAATATCAGAAGGGGGTTTTGTGGATATTATAGTAATTTTAATAGTTGAAATCATGAGTCATTTGAAACTAGACCACCATGGAAAACATGAAAGCACTAGAAGGCTGTTTCATCCTACTATGGGACTCCTCAGCAATGCGCATCCATGATCCCGACTCGCGAGATCTCAACCCAGGACTGATAGGTCCTAGTGATGGTCTCCAAGAGGTATTTCTTGAAGTTAAAGTGAGAAGCAAAGACCAGTGGAGTTCAACCTGGTCAGTTGTGGATATGTCGCTCAATTTCGTGGATTCGTTCAAGTTAGACATTAACACTATCGGATGCCGGCTCAGTGGTCTAGTGGTTAAGCGTTCACGCTCGAGACCGACAAGTCCTGGATTCGAATCTCATGAGGCGGGATCGTGGACGTGCACTGCTGAGGAGTCCCACAATAAAACGAAACGGTCGTTTAGTGCTTCCAGGATTTCCATGGTGGTCTGGCTTCAATTGACTCATGATCTCAACTATTAAAATTTCAAAAATTATCCTCAATATTATATACTACACTTTATAAACAAAGCCGTTTAAAAATCGATGTAAATACTGATAAGTACTTTATCTATTCGGTATCTTATTAGATACGTTTGATCATATATGTACCGACTCTATCAACTGTCGATAAATTTAATATTGACTAGTAAGCAAGGATTTCAGTTATTTTCAAGTGTTTATACTGTGTTTAATTGAATTAACCATAATAGACTAAGTATACAAACAATCAGATTATTTGAATAATAACTGATCAGTCGTCTTTTAAACTAGAACCCTATCGATGAGAAGATTTGGCAATTACGGAACATTGTTTGTATGATAATAAGTAATCTTACAATACTGGAATCATTTAAGAAAGATATCTAAACGAATACTGATTATGTAGTCTATCGAAAGTTAACTGAAAATGAATTATTTAAATCAGTTTTTTTGAGATTGGTTTGATTTGTAGGTTGTATTAGTCACAGGCCAATCTCTGTAAGTGTACCGCTGAAGAAAATAAAGTACTGAATAGCTGTTTCGTCCTAGCAAGAGACCTCTTACTAGTGCGTATCCATGATCTTTTCAGCAATCAAAACAAGGACTTTCTAGTCACGTTGAGGAGGCTTAACCATTAGAATCACTGGCTCAGTTTCCAGTGATCTAATTTCAACTCAATCAAGTTGTGATATAACTTGATGAATATCTAATGCATTGTTGAAAACTGTAGCACACTCGACATATTTGAACTCCATCAATCACAACTCCGGTAACGCGAAAAGTATTACTAAAAAATCTAACAGATCTGCACAAAATCTCTCCAACTAAACTATGTTGATCAGTTTACCAGTGGATTACTTCATGATATTTCCATCATTCTAGTGAGAAACTGTTACAATTGAAGTATTAACATGTCGACAGTGAAATAGGTTACTATAATGGCATTAGATAATTATCGAGCTCTAATGCAAATCAATTGAATTAAAAGTGTACCAATGAACACTGTGTCAGTATATCTAATATTAAGGGCTTATATTAAAGCTTTGAAGATTCCGGGTTCAATCCCTGACAGTTCTTCTGGGTGGTATTGATAACAAACCCCATTCACCAAGGAAACAGTAATTCATTGCGTTTCTATAGTTTTCAATGGTACACCAACTAAGATCAATCTATGATTTGCGTTAAAAGATGAATAACATAACATTGTTTGGCAAAATATTTCTTCAACCAGAGTTTTCACTGATGTATGGATTAGTTGAAACTTAAGGGATAATAGAACCTATGCAGTTACCGTTCAAAACAACCATTGAAAGGTAGATGCATCCTAAAACTACTAGTAAGATACTGATAGATACGTTAGATTTGAGTCCCAATCAAAATACTCAACAAAACAAGAAGTTTATCTCTAATTAACTGTTCATTAAATATCCTATCCATACATATAATCGGTTATTATGATAGATTTGTTCGTATAAAAAATCGATATTATATTCAAACTGGATATCATTTGGTCCAGGAAATTCAATCAATACATTTGATATTAGTAAATAAACTATACAAATCAGATTATCATTCCCAACAGAACAATATTCCATTTCACTCTGATACATCTACTCAACTATTATTCCATTTTACATTGAACAACATCATTGTAAATCATCAATAGAATATTATACATCGAATGTAATCAATTACATCACATTATCATACAAATCATAATGATTAATATATGGATAACATGTAGTGCAACGTTTATGAATAGTGGAAAAAGAAGAAGAATACAGTTCTATCAACTCTCCTTCTATTATTCAAATGACTAATTTGAATCAGTGGGAAATGTCTGTGTATAATTGTTCATCCACCAATCCGATTGGTAAATGTTTCATCATCAACACAGACTAGACTCAGTAGTTCACAAAGTGTTCTTATGTAGTCAACGAGAACATAAGTGTGGACAATCGAATGTATTTGAAAGCAAAATTACAGAATCACTTAGTAAAATATAAGAACCATTAAGCAAACATTTCAGTTGAAAAATATCAGTTAATCGACTCAGACTCCATTAATCCTTCGTTTACACATCAATCAATTTTGGTCCTCGATCTCATTCTCTTGCTTTCAGTCTTCTTAACCTTCTGCCACCAGACATTCCACTTTACATTATTGATACATACTACTTATATCTATCGACATCAGTGGCAAACGACACACTAATACAGTGAATAGTGATATGAATTCATTTGTCACATGGTTCATAATCACTGTAGGATGACAGTGACACACACCAACACACATAAAACCAATCATCAACATTCGCAATGTCAATGATTATGCTCTCGATCTGAATGAACATTCAATCAACAACAAAATCAACACTTCTTCACACATATGAACATCACATAAACACACACATACACATAGATAACTCATCCGAATGTGCATTACTAACAACATTATACATTCTACTGAACAAATCACTCCAAATTCAAAATCACTATCAACATTTCCGATAGTCAGTAGCAATAAAGATAAAATGATGAATCACTTCACACATTCACTTGTCAATCTAACACAAACTCATCAACATCACATCATTCATCAACTGAAACATCAAACATCCAACATCAAACTTCCATCAGAATCATTGCACACTCATGTCCACAATGCATCATACTCACATTCAAATCTCGATCAATTCAATCATTCACATTCTGAGAGCAGTGAATTGAGTTGGTGTTACTCTAACCATTCTCAATTGACCGTTATTGCATCTTACTCAATATCCTCAAATAGCTCACACTTCATTCACTAGGTGACTGACTGACCATCAACCATTACATTTCAACCATGTAGAATTATGGTTGATTGTTCACAGTGAATATTACAGATGAGAGAAGTACAACATAATGAATGAAATAACACAAATATGATGAAAGTGGGATATTGAAATAAAATCTCTAGTGGAACTTCTCTCACATACATCGACTTACACACTCAATGAATAAATAAGTGGTCGAAATGTGAACACGTTGTGGATGGTTCTACACATAAACTATCGATAACCATATTCGAAAACTGTCATTGTGATTGCGACGAAATGGATGATCATTCAATTGGAGTCATTTCAATTCCTTAAAATGTGAGTGCCTGTTACTACTGTTATTTATACCCATATAATCGAATAAATACATAAAAATAGAGATGATTCTGATTGATGAAATATATCAGTGTTGTAGTATTGTAATCAAAATGATAATTTATTGAAAGAATACATTAAGTAGTCGATGAATTTAAGGCATTTTGTAGCTGACGTCCATGTAGTGAATAAAGACTGATGATGTTCTGTTATGTCATGAGTAAGACAGTTTTAACAGAAATTTTATTTAATGATTTTAATAATCTAATGTTTAAATGATTGAAATGGACTGACTGAACTCTATTGCTGAATGTCTTCCATTGTAGTTTTGGTTAGATAATTGTGAGGACATCCTTCAGTTGAACTCAAAGAAGTTCTAAGAAACTTAGAAAGAGTTGAAGACATTCCATTCAATCACTTTTTTTTTGGAAGAATATTCCAAAACTTTAACTTGTAGACAAATGTTAAAAACCACTGCACATGGATAGAATGACTTTAATGATGATTTCATTTCTACTAAAAGCTATAAATACCTGAAATTTTTATATTCTATTTGACACTGTTTGAAATAATATTTCTTCTTATTCATCTTCTACCATCTCTTTTGTGACATGGTAGGTTCTAGTATTTGAGTGCTCAAGTAGTAAGCGGTAGAGAAGGAATCTAATTTCAATGGTTAAGATCATGAGTCAGTTGAAGCTAGACCACCATGGAAAGCCTGGAAGCATTGGATGGCCGTTCCATCCTACTATGGGAATCCTCGCCCTACGCAAGATCCGAACCCAGGACCTACTGGTTTCGAGCGCGAGCACTTAACCACTAGACCACTAAATCGGCATCCAACGGTGTTAATGTCTAACTTCAATCAATCCACGAAATTGAGCGACACATCCACCATTGTCTTCAGCGAGTTACTATCTAACAACAGACCTGGTTGAACTCCATTGGTCACTACTTCTCACTAGAACTCCAGGATAAACCTCTTGAAGCTAGTCACTAGTGAGTATATGTTGATTATTATCAGAAGGGGTTTTGTAGAGATTGTAGTGGTGGTCTAGCTTCAACTGACTCATGATCTTAACCATTGAAATTGCTACAATCTCCACAAAACCCCTTCTGATAAAGATTCTAATCTCTAGATATAGCAGTAATCTAATCTCTAAGGCTATTAATCATGTCTAATTAGTATATAGTAGACCAGATGAACATTCAATCAGTCACTAATCAGTAATGAATTGGTATAATTTCAACAACAACAACAAAATACTTAACTATAATCTATCACTTACACTTAATAAATCTTTTTCTGAAAGAATTTGATTATTATCTGAATTATTTTTGTTATTTTTATGTTCAACTGTTGCTATGACTAATCCAACTTTATGATCATTGGAATTGACCACATTTTTTAATCGATTTTTTAGTCTTTTATTCATGCTAATCTGTTTTGTCATTTTCATTTCTTCTTCTTCATCATCAAGATCATCGTCGTCGTCGTCGTTATAATCATCTTCATCATCATCATCATCATCATCATCATCATCATCATCATCATCATCATCATCATCATCATCATCATCATCATCATCATCATCATCACCATCTTCATAATGATGTGATATGGACTCTTGTGATTCATTTGTAATAGAATATATTGTTGAAATTTCAACAATATCTTGAAATGTTACTTGTTTCTCTGGTTTTTTCATCGAGTTAGGTGATTTATGAATTAACTCATTATGTAATTCATAATCGTCATTGTTATATTCTATATCCACTGAAGCTTCGTAACTAGTCATTAAATCTTCATCAATAGTTGTATGTGAATTAGTATCATTATTATGATTAATATCTCGTTCACTATGATCATCATCATCATCAGTGTTACTTTTTGATGTCAATGGTGGTGATGTTCCTGTTCCTGTTGTTGGTGGTGGTGTTGGTGTTATCCTAATTGTATTTGCAATTGTATCTATACTATCATTCATTGGTGAACTTCTTGCATGATTAATCATACTCTCTGTTTCATCTGAATAAATCCCATCATTGTCTTCATTACTAGCAGTTGTACATGAGGATCGCAATACATTGTACTCATTATTATTATTATTATTATTAATAAAATTCATTTCTTTTTTCCTTTTAATTCCATTTATTAAACACCTCCCTGAATTGTGTTAAATCAGTTGCTATGCATAGATTATTGTTTAAATGTTACATTGTTTATTAGAAATGTATAAATTTCCTTAAATTTCCTCTTTTTTTTGCTTTTTTGTGTTTTTTTTGTTGGAAAAATCATTACCGTTTTATGTACATCAATGAAAAGGTTTTTTCGAGTTACAATAACTAATTTGTCTTATATTATTAACTAATCAAAATTTAGTTAAATAAATTGGCGAGACTATAATTTATAAATGAACCAATCAGATTTAAGTTAGAAGGTCATGTATTTTGCAGCGCGAAATTCAGTCATTCATTTTGGTTAAATTGAGTTTTGATATTTTAGTTGATGTTCATTCATGATGAAAACCTTAAATCTAATTCTTTTTTCAATTTTAACCATTCACTGTAAATTATAATTTTAACTCTGATTAGCTCCAGTATCCTGAGGGAACAAATGGCGCATGAACCAATCGTTAATCATCGACTACTATGAGACTGCATCTCCTTACGATGCTCCAGTGCCTTGTAGATCGGACCTTTAGGTCGAAGGTTCCGGGTGTGGCCCCTTAAGAAAACTACCTGCTTCGGTTTGGGTACCCGGGCAGTATCACAGCCTTCATACATACCAAATGAAATTTGTGTAGCGCATATGTATCTGGTGCCCCCTTGTACAAATATCAGTAAATAAAATTATAACTCTCATTCAGTCCTAATAAGTAGGTGGATATTCTCAAGGTCATTATGACGTCGTTCAAAGGTCATCTAAAATATCAATAATCAGTATAATGAAACATTGAATGAAACGATTTGTTCAACTGTAATTTGGAAATGTAATTCAAATGATTCAAATGGAATCAATTATTTGTAAGGATTTTATATTTTCTTATTGTTGATATTAGGAAGCACATTTGATTAGTCTCTATCGGGATTTATGTACATTGTGAATGGATTATTTCAGTATTTTCATTAAGTTAAAAGTTTCTAGTAAAAGTTTTGGGTATCGTTAATACGACTTCGTGTAAATTGTTCGATTTCATAGAGATCATGACTAGTAGTGTATGTTCACTCGTGAATAGCTTGAAAAGAACATGAGAAGCTGTGAGTAGTAGAGTTAAACCGTGTATTATTTGAGGAAGTTACCCAACGAAGACAATGGAAGATGGCCGCGCAATATCATGGATCCATTGAAATTAGACATTAACACCGTTGGATAATGATTCACTGATCTGAAGTCTAAGTGTTTGCGCGTGAGACCGAAGGTTCTAAGATTGATTACTTTTAGTGAATGGTCATGGATGCTCATTATTAAATAGTCCCAAACTCGAAAAAAAGACCATCCAGTGTTCACAGGTTCTCAATGTTGGTACAGCATAGATCGATTCACGAACTTATTGGGAAATGTTAACTTATTAATAATTTACCTACAGTAATCAAGGTTATAACAATCGATCCGCTTAAAATGTATGAAAGTAGAGATAAACAGCTTAAAGTGATTTATTATCAACAGCTTAAAATATCTGGTATTTAAAGACTTTAGTAAACGTTATCATTTCAATAAACTAGAGCTTCCTTCATTTCACCTGAGGCCAGTCCTCACAATTATCTAGTCAAAACTAAAATGGAAGACATTCAGCAATAGAGTTCAATCAGTCCATTTCAATCATTGAATAAAATTTCTGTTAAAACTGTCTTACCCATAACATAACAGAACACCATCAGTCTTTATTCACTACATGGACGTCAGCTACAAAATGCCTTAAATTCATCGACCACTTAATGTATTCTTTCAATAAATTATCATTTTGATTACAATACTCCAACTGTAGTTGATTAGTGTCTTCAACACATGTACATTATTTGTGGAATCCTTCATTATTTGCCATTAGGTCACAAGCAATATTCTTTTTAATTAAGAGATGGACGATGGCTAGCACTGGTATCCAGGATGCGTGTTTCATCTGATTTGAGACTCATCAGCTGGATTTACCTGGGTCTCAAAATTACTATATATTCTGGGACCAATACAAATAAACTAAACTTTACCCCATTGCATAAGCCAGTAACTATCTGAACTCAGTAGCTAAGTAGTTAGACGCAATGATGTTTCGGGTGAATAGCATTGAGTTCGAGTCCGGGATTGAATGTCGGCTGTACATCGAGTTAACGAGTTCAAAATGGGACGAAATGTGTATCCCGGTTTCCACTGTTAGCCATCATCCATCAAATATATTCTGTTTATGTTCATCTTTTTAACCTTCATTCTATTTCAATCCTTTTCTTTACAGATCACAGAAATATTTGAATAAAATTTTTTTGTGTATGCAAGTATTCATTCAATAAATCGAAATTACTCTTTAAGGATAATTCCTATTCTTCTTATTATTATGAATGTTGTACTCAACATATCCCTACCATAACACATGTATACATAGTTACAAGCAAACATATATACACATACAAATATATGAACAAACGGTTAAGATAAATAAACGGTACGAATTTCAAATGTTTTGTTTTTGTATTTTTCATTTTATGAATCTTTATTTTCATTTCTGTCCTGTTTTGTAATCCTTAGTAACAACCTCTTCCATAGAAATTCACAGAGGAAACATAAAGCTAACAAACAAACAAATAAAAATAAATCCCAGTTTCTTTTTAAGGAAATTCTATTTATACATGAGTATTGTTTAAAGTAACTAACATGTTTTGATGCTGGTTGGTGAACAGGTGAACAAGAGTGTATACATGTACAAATTCATGTATATATGTTTAAGAATGAATGGAAATTCGATGAACTTATTTTTTGGGGGGGGAAGTGGAGAAAATGTTATTTTGTTTCAATATTTACATACATATTCATGTGTATATTGTAGTTATACTGAGATAAACAGATAAAGAGAAAGTCAACTCTCAAAGGCATAACCATTAATAAATCACTAAACTTAATAACGATTGAGTAAATAAAATAGTTCCTTTTTTTATTCTTTATAAGCAAAGATGAACAGTGGCTAGCAGTGGAATCCATAATGCGCGTTTCATTCTATTTGGGACTGGTCAGGTGGATGTAGCTAAATCATAGAATTGATGTTCACTCACTTATAGTCTTAAATAACAAATGAGAAGATACAAGCAAACGTGCGTTTTGTTCTATTTGGGTCTCGTAATGTGAATGTACGTAGGAAAAACGACTGGTCATTTGCAATCCGTAACTTCAATGAGAAGATTGAAGCAAACAGTACAAATGAATTATAATGCACATCATTTCAAAAACCAGTGGCTATTCAAACTCAGCAGCTAAGTGGATAATGTATTAGGTGTTTGAAGCAAGAATTACTGTTTCGACACTCGGTTTGACCAACAACATTTGGGTACAAGTACATATAACATATTGTGGATTCCACTGCTAGCCACTACTCAGCTCTACTTGTAAAATGTTACTTTAATCAGAATAATATTGATTAGTAGTAGGGGGAAGATTAGATTTAAATCGGTGTTGATTACAGAAATGAAATCAACTCACTAACTACCAGACTAGAAGACACGTGAACTGTCTCATCGGACAACGCCCGACGTGAGGCTCGAACACACAACCCTGAGATTAAGAGCATCATGCTCTACCGACTAAGCTAGCCGGGTTAACTCACTAACTATTGAAAGTATAATGAACTCCTAATGATAATTCAATAAACCAATTCTGATTAACTACATAGTCTGACTACTTCAAGTATATACAAGTAGTATAAATATACAAATAAAACTCAATTTTTATAAAAGTCGTTATTTCATCAAAATTAATGGAAACTTTTTCTACATTTGGCTAAACAAACAGTCGATGGATAATGAATCTAGATGAAAACGTTAAAGTGTATGAATAAATCAGTAAAACATCGTATGTACATTTATTGATATCGTAGTAACAGTGTGATTTATGTTACTTATATTGACATGAGTAGTATATAACGTTAGTCGGGATTAGTATGTCTCATAGCAGAAGGTTGAGAAGGCAAGAACGGGAACAGAAAGCAATTAGAATGAAAATATAGGAACAATGAAGACTGAATCAATTGACTAATGCTTGAAAAAGGAACAGTCAAGTTTGAGACCATTGATTGACATTTATTAAATGAAGTATTCACTGTATGGTTCTTAGATTTTACTAAAATGTTCTGTAATTTTGTATTTAAATACATTTGATTGTCTCCAATTGTGTTCTCATTCACTAAAAAACTGTTAGTCACATTTTACCAATCACTCTATAATGTAACTACTAGCCTAAGTGAATCAATATCCTTATCCTTTTGATTTCTTAACTCTTAAGTGGTTAGTAACGTCTGAAAAAGCCGTCACTTACTTCTAAGTTTTATATGTTTAACTGAATAGTTTAACATTGAAACGTTCATCGTCATTCAAAACAACATTGGCTTCATCTCTATAAGCTTCTTAGTTATTCTACAATAAATAGACTGATATGTTCTATTATATATGTTTCTACCTAATTGTTCTCGTATATGATTGTATACTAATCGACCATTTTCGTTGGTTGACCTCTAACATAGGGATTCATTGATATTTTTTTTATGGGTTAGATAGATCGAACCCACATTTATGTGTTCCTGATGCTAGATATCTTTAATTATTAAACACCCTTGATAACATTGCCTGTGTAAATATTTCTTTTATGGAAAACAGATATGAGATATGTTTTTTAAGCAAAGATGGAATCTAGGACGCGCGTTTTATCCTATTAAGGACTCATCAGCTGGATGTAGCTGCATCCCAGAGTTGATGTTCACTCCGGGACTCCAAGCCACTATCCATCTTTGTTTAAAAAGCTTGTGACTTAAGGTTATATCAAGGCAATCTGACCAGGATGCATATATGCCAACATGAAACTGATCAATTGCAGTGCTAAATAACAATGGAAGTTACAATTAAAACAACACCAAGTGGAGTTAAACATTGCCAAATTGAACAAGCAAGTGTCTATCAGGACTCAGTAGCTAAGTGGAGAACGCGATGACGTTTAAAGCGAACGGTACTAGGTTCGATTCCCAGAGTGAACACCAACTGTTGGATGCAGGTATATCCAGTTGACGAGTCCTAAATAGGACAAAACGCGCGTTCTAGATTGCACTTCTAGTCATTATCAATCTTTGTTTAAAAAGCTTGTGACTTAAGGCTATATCAAGGTAATCCATACAGGATGAACATATGCCAACAAGAGACTGATCAATCGCAGTGCTAAATAATAATGGGAAGTTACAAGTAAAACAACATCAAGTGAATTTAGACATGAGATAAGTTTCTTCAATGTTTCACACTTTTCAAATTTCATATCTGTTGCTATTCTTTATGAAGTTAGTATTCCTAGTTGAAATTGCACTAGTGTCATTCAAAAGGAAACCTTTTACTTAATGACCAATCACTGAGTAACTGTTAGTTATCTATGATATTCGAATGTATAATTTCAATTAATCAATCAATCAGTCAGTCATTCAATCATAATCAACAAAGACC